CTCTGTGGTTTCCCAATCTGTCTTGCCTGAAGTTCCCCTGATTTTTGTTTACTCCCAGCCATCAGCTGTGGGTTTGCTTCATTCATTTCACGCCCAGCCCAGCTCAAGAGACTCAATTCTTAGTCCAAACCAGACTCCATTACCCAGATGGGAATTCTGAGGGCACAAGGATATCACTAGGTGGATGAATAAATGGGTTAAATGTTGGTATCATTGTGGAATACCCTTAATGTCCAACAACGACAAGTGATGTAAAGTTGATCCAGGGAAAAGTACTTGCTGTCTGTTCTTACCATACTTCTAAAGAAGTGGATGACAGAAATGGAATATTATGCTAATTAATATCTACAGCTCTCATAAGGAATGATTGCAGCAATAAAATTTAAAGTAAGTTTGTCTAACTTTGAAAAATGGTGCTGTTCAGAATGAAAGAAAATTCTATATAGAAAACTTGGGAAATGTTATACTCCCTTAAGAACAAAAGCCAGTTCAAAGGGCAAAGGCAAAATCAAATGGCAGTTAGAGGCCAAACAGAGAAAAATAATAAAGAAAAACAACAGAAAGATTCCAAGAGTTAGGACCAACCACATATTGAAAATGCAACAGATAAATTGGATATTAGTCACCACACTATCCTCATAAATCTTTCCTCCTCACAACAAACACTTGCTCAGGGATTCTGTTCTAGTACTTGAACTTAAATAATTAGATCATAGTAATTGGAAAAGTCAGGCATGTGGAAAGCATTTATAAGTCAAGAATTATGAAAGGATAAACTGTAATCAAAGAATAATCCATAATCTCCAAAGTGAGAAATTCAGACAAGAATTTAAATAGTGGATTGCTCTTGGGACAGAAAATTAAAAACTGTTTAGTTGGACATAAGTATACAAGTATATAAGAATGAACACAGAATCTTAGAAAGGCTTCAAAAGGAACCTAGAAGCATCACAGGTTTCTGGGTAGGAATGGATTCTCTGCCTTAGAAAGCACATGGAAAGAAGAGATTTCATGACTTGTAACCTTACAGAGATCCAAATCCATTTTGGAATTTTAAATTATATATATTTCTGTTGGGAAATAATATTGATAATCATATGGTCAAATATTAAAATAAACCTGAAAATAAAGTAGGAGGGCTAGTATCTTCAGCTGTGTCCCTGGCTCTTTTTCTCCAAGTTCTTAATCGTCTTTTCTCATCTATTTATTTTCGCCTTTGGTTTTCTTTATCTCTTGTGTTGTTTCTGCTCGCTTAAAGATCACTGTGATTATTGTTTTTCTTTTCTTTTCTTTTTTTTTGAGACTGAGTTTCGCTCTTGTTACCCAGGCTGGAGTGCAATGGCATAATCTCGGCTCACTGCAACCTCCACCTCCTGGGTTCAAGCAATTCTCCTGCCTCAGCCTCCCGAGTAGCTGGGACTACAGGCACGCGCCACCGTGATCGGCTAATTTTTTTGTATGTTTAGTAGAGACAGGGTTCACCATGTTTTTCTTTTTCTTTTTTTTTTTTGAAACATCTTTCTATCTGCAGAAGAAGGAATGCTTTGAGCCACTGTACCTGGCCCAGTTTGGTTCTTATTAGTTCTGTTAAGTTTTTTTTTTTTTCTTTTAGAGGAAGAAAGAGAGAAAAAAAGAAAGAGAAAGAATAAAAAAAAGAAAAAGAAAAAGAAAAAAAAAGAATAAAAGAGAGGAAGAAAGAGGAAAAGGAAGAGGGAGAGAGAACAGGGGTGTTGCTTTATTGCCGGGCGTAGAATGCAGTCTAAAAATGGGCATGCCTTAATTGTGTTTAATAATAGAGACATAAAAAAAAAAAATGAGGGAAGAAAATAATTAACAAGCAGCCAACCAATATTTCATTTAAACCTATAAATAGGTGTGATGTGGTACTGATAAGAGTGTATATTTTGTGTATTTAAAGTGGAGAGTTCTATAAATGTTAATTAAGTCTTCTTGTTCCGGATTTGAGTTCAAGTCCTGGATATTGATGTTAACTTTCTGTCTCAGTGATCTGTCTAATATTGATGTTGAAGTCTCCCACTATTATTGTGTGGGGGTCCAAGTCTCTTTATAAGTCTTATATATCTGGGTATTCCTGTATTGGGTGCGTATATATCTAGGATCTTTAGCTCTTCTTGTTACATTGATCCTTTTATTATGTAATATCCTTCTTTGCTTCTTTTGATCTTTGTTGCTTTAATGTCTATTTTATCAGCAAAAATTGCAACTCCTGCTTTCTATTTAATTATTTATTTTTGCTCTCCATTTGGTTGGTAAATTTTTCTCCATCCCTTTGTTTTGAATCTTTGTGTATCCTTGCATGTGAGATGGATCTGGATGTAGCATACCAATGGGTCTTGGCTTTTTTTTGCCTGTCTGTGTCTTTGGATTGGGGGATTTAGTCGATTTAAATTTAGAATTAATAACAATATATGTGAGATTGATACTGCCATTTAATGTTAGCTGGCTGTTTTGCCCATTAGTTGATGCAAGTTCTTAATTATGTTGATGTTCTTTATTTTTTGGTATTTTTTAGAAAGGCTGATACTGGTTGTTCCTTTCTATTTGTAGTGGTTCTTTCAGAAGCTCTTGTGAAGCAGGCCTGGTGGTGATGAAATCTCTGAGTGCTTGCTTGTTCACAAAAGATTTTATTTTTCCTTCACTTATGAAGCTTAGTTTGGCTGGATGTAAAATTCTGGGTTGAAAGTTCTTTTCTTTAAGGATGTTGAATATTGGCCTCCACTCTCTTCTGTCTTGTAGGGTTTCTGCTGAGAGATCTGCTGTGAGTCTGATAGGCTTCCCTTTGTGGGTAACCTGACCTTTCTCCCTGGCTGCCCTCAGTATTTTCTCTTTCATTTCAACACTGGTGAATCTGGCGATTATGTGCCTTGAGGTTGGTCTTCTTGAGGAATATCTTTGTGGTGTTCTCTGTATTACGTGGAGTTGAATATTTTCCTGCCTTGCTAGGTTGGGAAAGTTTTCCTGAATAATATCCTGAAGCGTATTTTCCAGCTTGGATTGATTCTCTTTGTCACATTCAGGTACACCTATCAAACGTAGATTAGGTCTTTTCACATAGTCCCATATTTCTTGGAGACTTTGCTCGTTCTTTTTTATCCTTTTTTCTCTAATCTTGTCTTTTTGTTTTATTTCACCATGTTTTTCAAATGTCTTTCTGGTCCCACTAATATGTAAAGTTTAGATAATTTGTTTTTCCAAAGGACAGTGATTAAACTAGTAAGGGAATTAGATTAGGTTTCCAAATGTATGAGAAAGTGACATAAAACACTAAATGCATGGAGAAGAGACAGATTAAGGGAATTTGGTAATTATATGTATTCTACAACTTTGGAACAAAGGAAAGCACTGTGATCAGTTTTTGACATGCTGTTTTAGTTTATTAATGATTATTAATTTGTGAACCATCATGATAAACACAAAGACAAATACATAAAATACTGAGAGGCTGGGCCTTAGTTGGCAGGGGGCGGGGAATGGGTGGTTATAGTTTTGCCAGGAAGATAAGAAAGGTTTACAGAGGATTAAAATGGAGACTGATCATATCAAAAGTCCCAAAAAGATCAGAGAAGAGCAAGATCAGCTCCAGATAAGAGAGATCAAGAAGGCTTCAAGGTAGGAGTGGAGATGGAAATATTTCTAGGAGTATTGATAACAGAGGCAAGACCCTTGAAAGAACAGCCACAGTGCAATTAAGTTGGAGTAAAATGTTAGGAACCTCCAAGAAATCTTAAGTCTTTGTGAGCCACAGTTTGAAAATTGCGGTGTAGAATCTGACCAGTCAAGGGCTGCCTTGGCCGTCTAAGAAATCTGAAATTTATCTTACTCATAATGGGAGAAACAAAGTTATTTCAGTATGAGAACTGGCTGATGAAGGTAGTTTTAAAAGATTATATAGAGTGGGAGCAAAATACAAAAAGAAATGAAGTTGGGGAAGGAGGTGAAATGGATACAGGCAATCTGATAATGGACAATTGTCCGGGTAAAGACACTGGAGGAGGACAAAAGCCACCTTGGGACAAAAAATAAATATTATTTTCCTTGATGAGAAAAATGCAACTTTTAGAAATGGTGGGCTATTTATCATCATGTGTACCCAACAGTTGTGCTTTCCATTTTTAATCTTCCATTAAAAACACTATTATCCTTGTTTCTTTTCCTTTTTTTTTTCCTTTGAGACAGGGTCTTGCTTTGTTGCCCGGGCCGAAGTGCAGTGGCTCAATCATGGCTCCCTGCAGCCTCGACCTCCCAGGTTTAAGGGACTGTCCCACCTTAGCCTCTCAGGTAGCTAGGACTACGGACATACTCACATGACCAGCTAATTTAAAACATTAAAAAAAAAAATTGTAGAGATGGGATCTCACTATGTTGCCCACACTGGTCTGGAATTCCTGGCCTCAAGCAATCCATTTCCTGCCTCAGCCTCCTCAGTGTGCTGGGACTACAGGCGTAAGCCGCAATGCCTGGCAAAATCAGTATTATCCTTACCTAAGAATTTAATGACATATTATCTTTGGACTGTTATTTCGAAGTCCCTTTGGAATATCTACAGATGATCAAAAAAATTTGAAATGTTTTCTGGTTTTTTATAAACTATTAGGTGGAAAAAACACTCAGTTTTCAAACTATCAATTACAGGATGAATTTCCAGAGTGCAGCTTTAAAACTTTCCCTTTTATCTTTTAACCCAAATAGCCTGTGTATACGTTTCAACACATTTTTTTCTACATCTTTTAATATTAACCTTAAGTAACGAATGACGGGGATGGAAGAAACTTGGTCCAGTTGAAAATAATTCATTACTTTTTTCCTATTTTGCAGAATGTCATTTTAAATAAGTGTTAGCCTGGAGAAGGTTTTTATTGTTTTCAACCACAGGCTTTATATTACCTTAAAAAAAAAAAACAAAAAAACTCTCAGCCGCAAGTTGGATGCTTCTGGCAGCAATACAAATCTAGCACCACCCAGGGAGGGAGTGTGTTTGCGTCTTCTCTCATTTCTGTCAGGATAGAGGAATGCTGGACATCCAGAGACAAGGGAGGCTGCAGTTCGCTGCTCCCCAGTCCCACACCTTGGGCCTCCCTTTGGAACACACAGGTAAGTACCTTGTGGTGCTGATTCAAGCAGTGTACTACTTCATTGCGAGCAAGCCATGAAAGTCAAGTGCACTGTACTGAAGGTGCATAATAGGTCTCGTCAACACCTTCAGGGAGCTCAACTTGGCCTGGCTTAGATCATAAGGTTCTTCATTCCCACCCAATACATTCCTGAAAAGATGCTTTTGTGTTTTATTGTTATTTGTCTCTTTGCATGTCACTTTGCAGCATGCTTTACTATAGGTATGCGAAATACTAAAACAGCCACTGAATGTTTGTTTGTTTGTTACAAATCCATGGCTAGTTGTTAATCTGTTATTCTTTCACATTCAGAAACTGTAAGGTCTTATAACAATCTTTGTTGCTGGACAAGGAAACATAAAGTTTAGTTTTCAATGTCAATATTTTAAAGTAACACAGATGAATAAAATGTTAAGACTTAACATTGGACAGTGAACTAAAAAACTATAGAGATAAAATTTTCCCATAATATGGCAGTAGTTTCTAAATATAAAACTCAATGTTATAAATTTGGGCTCTTAATGAATTTTTTATATCACAAATTCTGTTTCCACTTAGATGTCAGAAACTGAGCTGGAAAAGATAAAAGTAAGAACAGCTGAGCATTTTGAAAATGATAAAAATAACATTTCTTGGTTGAAAGAAGGTAAGTTTTCTTGCTCTTGATTTTCTATTGGTGTGAAAATTTTGCTTTTGTTTTTAAGCAAGAAATAGAATGGGAGAAGGAGGAAAAATGTCCTGGCAGTTCAAATAGTAGTACTTCTGATTTTCACTTTTTTTTCCCCAAATACACACATGGGCTAAGCGGTTGTTTGAAGATCTTTATTATTAAAATGCTTCTTATGGTCCCTGTGTTGCGGGAAACATAGATTACTTTGTTGGTAAGACTTAATATGCATTTTCTACTCAGATGTATATTACCTGTGAGGTCTTTGCAGTGCTGTGGGTTTTTCTCCTTTATAGCCAAGAAGACTAAATAATTTAAGGACAAGTATTTTTAAATAATAATCACAGCAAGGAATGCTTGCTATGGGAAAATATGTCTACAATTAGAATGACCATTCACTGCAATTAGAGAAGCCACCTTCCCAGGGGAGAATGCTGTCGGCCATGGCACTGCATGCGTAAAATCGTTGCTTGAAATACACCCACAAATCAATATGTTCTCCTATGATGAGTACAGATTTGTGCCCTTTTGAAAATACATCTAAACCTGTGATTATTTACTAGAAGGCATGGTTTTATAATTTTTTGATTTTATGATCACTTTTAATGTCTCATAAAGGAAACATTTGATATTTTATCTAAATAGTTATGCTGTGTCTTTTTCAGCATTTAATGACTTTATTAAATTGTAAAGAGACAATTCTTAAGTAGTTGACATTTTTAAAAATTGCTTTATAAGGTCATAGGAAACTCAAATATGCCAAGTAAATTAGACAATGTCAAAATAATGGTAATAATAATATTAATGTTGACAATGTTTATTGACATTTATTGACGATTTTGCTGATTCATCATGACAACCCTGTGAAGCAGCTATTATCCTTAATTTACCAATAAGAAAATAGAGCCTTAAAGAGTTCTAGTAACTTGCCTTAAATTACAAAATTAGGAAGTGCCAGAGCTGGATTCAATGCCAGGTTGTGTGATTCTACAGCATGTGAATTTAACCACCACTTCATTATATTCCAAAGGAAAAAATGTTTAAGTTACTTGTCAGAACATGATCTGTGCTCAAAAATGTTTTCCTGCAGTGCTGAAATCAACACCTCCAACTCCATCAAACCCTCATATCCACCCTTGTCCTTAATCTCACCCTATCCCCACCCTTATTTAAAAATACACTCATGGCCAAGTGCAGTGGCTCACAACTCCAGCACTTTGGGAGGCTGAGACTGGTGGATCACTTGAGGCCAGGGTTCGCGTCCAGCCTGGCCAACATGGTGAAGCTGTGTCTCTACTAACAATACAAAAATCAGTCTGATGTGGCGGCACATGCCTGTAGTCTCAGCTACTCAGGAAGCTGAGGCGGGAGAATCACTTGAACTCCGGAGGTGAAGACTGCAGTAAGCTGAGATTGCACCACTGCACTTCAGCCTGGGTGACAAAGCAAGACTCTGTCTCAACAATATAATAATAAATAAAATTTAGAAATGATAAAAATATACTTATTTAAAAGAAAAAAAGATAATTTTTTCTGCCCAATTGCCCAGCAACCGATTTTAATAGTAGGACATCATCTATTTAAGAGACTCTACTTCAGGACAAAAGTTGATACAGGCATAAAGTGTTCTCAGATTCATTTCTGTTAAAGGCTTGAAAATTCTCTAACTTCTTATTTGAAAAGTTCTTTTAAATAGAATCCTTTAAAAACCACGTGAAAGAAAAAAAATAGAGCATGCATCGAAGATCCCCTGTGTTTTTCTTATGAATCCCAAATCCATGAAGATAGATATGTTCTTCACCACTACTTATGGTGAAGTTCATATTATTTATTTTTACTGTAATTACTTCAGGCTACAGATGTCTCATACAGAAATAATAATGAAATTGATAGACCAATCAATTGTTTCCTGAAGAATTTTCTTTAAAAAAAGAATTGTGTCCATTAAGTACAACTTAGGTATTGAACTCTTGTAATCTATAAAATCTAATTTCCCAGTTGACCTGTTTTATCTCATTTGGACACTTCATTTAAGCTATACTCAAATTATGTTTACTATATTTCATAAAAGGAAATTGAGCCAGATGCTAGATGACAACATCTTAATTGGGAATTATCAGGATGAGTTAATTTTCCAACATAAATGTCCTTTTTTCTTTTTCAATGTTAAGAAAAAGTATATGGGTTGGCTTATTTTTTAAAAAGGCCAAGTGGTGCAGTAAAAAGAGCATGGCATTTGGAGTCAGGCAGGCATGGTTTTTAAATCGTAGCTCAGCCGTCTACTAGTTGTGTGATTGTGCCCTGTTACTTTACCTCCCTGATCCTCAGTTTCCTAGCTGGGGACCACAATACTTGCTTTATGAGATTATGAGGATGTGATTTCATTATTTCTCTCTTTTTTCCCCTCTTAAAGCATTATTCAGGATAATATAATTATATTTTTTGAGAGCTTAGTTCACAGTTTGAACAATCAATAATGCAACAACACTTTTTATAGTATTTATATAAATTTTTTCATTTAATCCCTACAACAAGGTGGTATGCAGTAGTACTGTCTCCATTTTACAAATTAAGGGATGTAGGCTTAGAAAGACGTTAGATCTTGCTCACATTTGCAGGCCTGTTAAGTGGCAAATTGAATCTCCAGCCTAGGTCTTTCAGGTCCAAATTTTGTTCTTTTCATTAAACCACTTTATTACAGTGACTTCCACAACAGTTATCAATCAGGATTTTAAATGTGTCAACCTCCACCCTCCCTCACTCCCCTTTAAAAAAATAATACAGATACTTTCAGTTGTTCAAAAAAATGTTTTTTTTTTCATTAATGACAAAGTGGTCACATCCCACATGACAGTGGCTCTGCTGCCTCCCTCTGGAACTCCAGCTGAATACTCCTCACTGTTAAAATAGAGTAATCACAGCAATGTCTTATTAAGGTTGGGGAAGCACTTCACTGGAGTCACTGACAAAAAGTGCTGAGTGCAGTGCTTGATTCCAGAGTGAACATGCAAGCAACAGGAGTTACCACCACCATCACCATTCTGAGCACTGCTATTTATTTCTAACTTCTCTCAACTTCAAACATTCATGCCATTTATCCAATTGATTTCAGCGTTGTTAACTGGAGTGACTAGAGACAAGGTATGAGTGTGGCAGAGAAAGATACAAAAAAGAAACACGCTCCTGCACTCGAGGACCTTATTATTCATTCATCTCATTCAATTGTCTTGCTTTTGCCAGGAAGGCAAAGAGACTCTTAATAATGCCTTTGACTCTCCCCCAGACGGGTGATGGGTCTATTCACATCAGTGGTGGTTTCAAAGAGCTATTATCAAAAATTAGAGTAAATTTTGCTTGAGACATACCACTGACAGACCCCCCAAAAAAGCACTCATTTAAAACCATGCTTGGAGAAGCCCTGTTTTAAGATAATCAGAGAAACAAGGCATGATTTAAAAATATACAGCATTGCTTGGCACAGTAACTCATGCCTATAATCCTAGCACGTTTGGAGGAGAAGATGAGTAGATCCCTTGAGCCCAGGAGTTTGAGACTAGCCTGGGCAACATGGTGAGGTATTGTCTCTATAAAAAAATAAAAACAGAAAATAAAATTAGGTAGGTGTAATGGCACGCCTCTATAGTCCCAGCTACTAGACAGGCTAAGGTGATAGATTGCTTGAGCCTAGGAGGCTGAAGCTGCAGTGAGCTATGATCACACCACTGCACTACAGACTAGGCAACAGAGCAAGACTCTGTCTCAAAAAAAATGAAATATATGCACCATGCAAGATGAGTTACATCACGCAAACTGTGGGCCAAGGTGTTCTAGGAATTCCAGTCTTGAAGGCAATCACGGTCTCTTTGCATAGGTGGAAAGAATGAGGTGATGCTGAGAGCAAAGGCATCAGAGGCTGGAAGATACCTATTTCTGCGCTAGGGAAATGGGCATATTAGCTAATTATTCATGAATGGAATAATGCAAAATGAAGTGAGAAAACAATTGAGTGCTGAGTGTAGGTTAAGTAGTGGACATTGGTTCTGTGTTGTCACTGCAGGTCTGAGGACAACAACCCAGAAATTGAAGGAAGGCTCATGTGATATGAGCCTGTAAATATGTAACTGGCGTGCAAAATGGGGTGGAGCTGGCAGAGGAAAGGTTAAAGGAAAGGGGTGGTAACGGCTAAGACAGACAGCTACAGTTAGCAGCCTGGAAGTGAGAAAAAATATGACCTGAATGAAAGTCATATCAAAGAGAAGGAGAAAATAGGCCCAAATGTGAAAAACTTTATGGAGGAAAAATTGTTATAACATAGAAATTGGGGGGAAAATTACAGGTGGAATAGGATGTCATGTAATACCCCATTAAGCCAAGGAGCATTCTAGGTAAGCATTTCAGTGCTTGTAGCTTATACCATTTGATACGGAAGAGAGACGTCAAGATGAAGGGATTGAAGCCCTTAAGTTGTTGCCATTTGCAGTTTAAAATCACAGCATTGCCAGCATTTGAACTGTGCACAATTTCTTATAGGTTCTTCAGATTTTTCAGGAAAAACTGGAAATCTGGGTTTCTTTGTGGAATCCCCTGATTGTTAAAGGTTAAGTAATAATAACTACAACAATAACAACACAACAACAACACAAAATACCAACAAAATACCTGGACAAATCCAACCAGGCTCTCAGGTCTATTTCAGCCCACAGACTGCCAATTTGCAACTTCTGTCCTAGGAGAGTGTATCTCTAAACGAAACCTAATATAATTTTCTGAAAACTGGTTTTTCATAAACATTGCTGCATTGGCACAGATTATCTCTGTATCTGTCTATCTTTCTACCTGTCTCTTTCTCTCTCTATATATAAATATATATACACATACATATTTATACATATTTACTTGTATGAGCAAAGTCAAACAAAGTCAATATGTATATATGTACACATATATGCATATACATACATATTTATACATATGAACAA